GGCTGAGGTTGAATGACTGTAGTTGGTGGAAGGTTTGATGGCGTTCTGAGACTTGAGGTCTAACAGCAGCTGTTAGGTGGATGCTCGACGACAATTGGGTGGTGAAAGTCCTGTGGCGAGGGCAGGGCGAAGAGGGCTCGTCAGTGGTGGTGCCTGGGTAGAGCTCCACGATTCTTCAAGTCTTAGAGCTCTCTTGATCTCCTACCAGAGATCCAAGCCTCCTCTTTCATGTGATGGGGAGATTATTGGGTTCAGACACCAAACACAGCTTATCATTCGATATTTCACAGTACCGAGTAATACTGAACTCAGTGCTGTGAAGTACCGAGCTCAGTACCGAGTAGAGGATGAGGTGGCACATTTTCATTAGGCTCCGGACATCGTCCGATGTCCGAACCCAATAATTTCACCATATGATGAGTGAGGGCCTATTTATAATTTTTTGAGAATGACATTCTTTATAAATATGGAGAAGATCCAGAGCAATTTTGAAGTGCACAATCAGACGACTCATGTTGACTCTCTCAATTATGAAGTGTTTATACAACTTTTAAGTGCCTTAATTTTTTAAAAAACTTTTAAGAGCCTTAATGATGTCAAAATTAAGTGATTTTAGGCTTGTTGGATTCATCTCGTCAAGACCCTTGATTCACGTATAAGCATATATATATTTACTTATTATTTAGTCACCCAATTAATATTGTGAAGCTTCCAAATATGCTCAAATCCATTGTTCTGAGCCCATTTGAGCTCGGATTGGACCAATTTTAGTGTTGTTGGGTTGTGTTATCGAGACAACCGGTTTGACTATAAGCTTGTCGAAATCAAAGTTTGTATGGTCCCAAATTTAATATTGAATGTTTCCAAGTTAAATATGCCAAACAATCAAGCCAATTTTTGGCACGTGTCACTTCTAAAACTAATTAAGGATCATCCAGACTCCAATTTACATAAACCTATAGTTAAATTATCAACTCAGCGAGATGAACTTAACGACTCCAAAAAATGATCCGATCCAAGGCTAAATAAGCATCAACAACAACAATAATAACATAAAACATTTATCCTATTACTTGGGATCGGCTACATGAATTATTTTTTCTCCATTGTGTCTTGTCAAGAGATTTAATTTTATTTATTTAGTTGAAATTTTCTTAACTCTAATTTTTCAGTTTAGATATTTCCTCTTTAGTTTTAAAAAATTCTATTAAAGAAAGTGTGAATTGTATTTTAAAAAATTTGGTATAATTTAGTTATACTTTATTTAAGTGTTTCTTTTAAAGGAAAAAAAATTTGAATTTTGAAATGAAGCTGAAAAATCAAATCTAAACCCTTGTAAAAGATATAAGGAGATATGCCATTTTAATGTGCCAAAAGAAAGCACAGTTGCGGTCTCCTTGCAAAGAAAAATTATTATGTCCAGTGTCCGGATGCGTCCGGATGCACCACGTCACCCAACGCACAGATGTGGAGCATCTGAATTAACCTCCGATTGCATTCGAACACCGCACAGAATAATCTCTCCACTGCAAGTGAGACGAGCTCCACTTTATAAAGGAGACTATCCATTGTGAACAACGTGTTTAAGATGTAAGCACGTACCTTATGTTTTTGTACCTTGGAAGTACCATCTCATGGGTTGTACAGCTCCAATCATAACAAAATTTATGTTACCCTTAATACCTGGATCAAGTTCATTGTTTTCGGTTCCAAAAGTTTTAAAAAGTTACTTAGAATCTAATTTGGTCATTAAAATACTTTTTTTTTTTGAATAAAACTCACATATACGGGCTTACTCGTTAATATAAATAAGATATTACAAGTCCTTATTGAATTGATATCCCTCTAAAAATGCATCATTTGAAATAAAACCTATGAGCCTTTGATTCAAACTATTACAGAGTATAAACATAAGAAAATAAAAAAGGACAAGCACAACTCCCACCATGAACAACAACATGAGCACCAAAGAAGCCTAATCATCTATCAAAGACTCCCAAAGGAAGAGAAGCACCATAGATGGAGAGATAGAGAAATCTATACGAGCAACTGAACAAAAGCCCACAGCTAAGAGAATACTACCAACAACAATCTCCCAAATCATCCAGATACAGACATAAGAAAGGGTCCAAACAATCAACCAAAGAAACAACCAACAGTATCCAACTAATACCACAACAAACACCCCACCGGATCAAAGAAACCATCGAAGACAAAAACCCATTAGCAACATAATTTCGAAGGAGTTTTAGATCTCTTAGGCCTTCCTTCATAAACATTTAAATCTTGCAACACCTCTTTATTTATCTTTTTTTTTTCTTACCAACAACTTTTGCAAAATTATCATTACTAACTTGCACCGCATTCATATCTTAGTCTTCGTGGGAACCAAAACAAACATCTACTTTAGCCTCCTTAGAATCTCTAATAACTGACGGATTGTATGAGATTAAAGTCAGAGTGGTCAATAGGGTTCACATTAGAGTCCACATTAAAAGGAAAAACAACAAATTCATCTATACCATCAGAAGCATCATCAAAAATAGCCCTGAGGTGGGGGCTCTATAGAGATAGAACAGCCGCACCACCATCACCCACATCAGAACTCACAGTAGGAGAAGTATCATGACAATTAGTGAGACAATTAGTGACACGAACAGCAAGAAAAACTTTCATTTTATTGGAAATACCATCATCATCCACAGGGCCATGAAGTGAGGGAGATTCATGATCCACAATTTGATCCCCACCAACAAGATCAACATCACCATCCACATTCTTTCTATCAACAACAGGTGCTACTTCAACTTTAGGAATCACTTTGCTCTCAAGTATAACATTAGTCGTAGGCAATAAGGTAAGAGTTCCGATAGGAAAATCATCCCTTTAGGCAGCAGAAGGAACATCAACATTATCATTTTTTAAAGCCAGATAATCTTAAATAGGGTAAGAGCTAATATTAACATCCATGAGGTAGACATTAGCCATTTTATAATAACATCCTTAGGCTTAACCGGTAATTCTTCCTAAGATTAGGGTGCAAAATAAAGCACTCATTTTTTGCATGTCTGAGGTTCTTACAATGGTCGCAGAAGGAATATCTTCCAAAACCACTTTTTGCACATAACGAAATTTCTCAGGTCCAATCCAAATGTTGGCTGGATAGTTTTTGGTAATATCCAGCTCCACCAAGATCATAGCAACTGAGGGCCTAGTACCGTGAGAAGTGGCATTGTTTGTTTGCAAGGGTCTGCCAAATAGAGATCCTAACTCGTGGAGGATTTTTGGTGAAAATAAGTGAGGTCGTAGATCAGGGAAGAGATCTAAACCGGCACGATGGAGGATTCCTTATGAATGTCAAACATAGGATACCATTTCATAAGTTTCATATAACAGTTACACACAAATTAAGATCGATGAGCAAAAACTCTATAGTCCAAGTTGTTGGATAGTTTTATAAGCACATGATGAGCATCAAGCAAAGTAATAGATAAATTACCAGAATTTTAAAATTGAAAAAGAAATTTCTAATGAGATCCAATTTAGGACACCTATTAGAGAATTCATTAACCAAACAAAAGACAAAAATAGCCGCAAATGTAAGGATTTATTCCTTTGATATCCACAAGGCCTTCAAACCACAATGGGTAGTTTTCCTGAGATCAGGAAAGGAAGAAGAAGAGGTAGATCTGGACAAAGCATTTTTAAATGACTGAGATTTCGCATTAACAGCTAGAAAACTAGGATCCAAGAGCTTATTCGCCATTAAAAATACTTGAGAAATGCCAGAGAATGGCTAGGGCTTAGCGGGAGGGACTTGGACGATGCCCCAGCAGACATCGGGAGAAGGCAGAGCTCAGCTCCCGGATTCACACAAGATGAAGGAAGTTGACCAACGCGGACGGAGCCACGGAGATCGACGAGGTCGCATGCGCGAACTTCTTCGAGGCGCTGGAGGCGAGCTTAAGGTAGGCGAGGTTGAATTTAGTGCAAGCATGGCCATGTCATTAACATACTTGAATTATATCAATAGACTCAAAATAAATTTCAAAAACTGACCTCAACTTGTTATTGAGTAAAATCTTTGTTTTGTGTAATGGTAATTTTGGATCAAATTTAAGGAGAAATTTTATAAGATGGTTGTGAGACCTGCAATTTTTTATGGTGCCGAATGTTGACTATTTAAAGAGAAGCATAATACTAAGTTAAGTGTTACAAAGATAGGATACGAAATGAGTATATACATGAAAAGGTTGGAGTAACGCCAGTGAAAGATAAGATTAGAGAGAGTTGCCTTAGATGATTTGGTCACATAAAATGGCGGCCTTCCAATGATCCTGTTAAGAAAGTAGAGATATTAGATTTGACTTATGTTAAAAAATGTAAAGGTAGCTAGACCTAAAAAGACTTTGTTAGAAAATATTAGAAATGGTCTTTCTTTATTAGATTTAAATGAGAATTTGATTTTTAATAAGACACGATAAAGAAAAAAAGATTCATGTAGCTGACCCCATGTAGTGAGACACAAACTTGATGTTGTTGTTGTTTGGGTGATACCACCAGCACAACAAATTTCTGTTACTGTCGCGCAATAATGATGAATTTTACCAGCTGTATTAAATACAATTCTTATGTACGTTTCATTGCTCATTGCAAAATATACGCCATAAAAGGTTTGAACAAGAACGGTCAAACAAGAATTTTGATGAAATATGAAATCCTTACTCTGTTAACAATGGAGCTTTGTCCTACCTGCTACTTATATTACTACCATTACGCGGATAGGAAGTTGAGCTACCAAAGAGAGAGATACAACAGCCACCTAGCCTCTCTCTCTCCCTCTCCATCTCTCTATCTGATTTTTGTGTTCTCTATTCAAGTTTCCAACCAAATAGAGATAATTTCTCATAACAACATAGCCACCCACCCAGCAACTTCCAAGTCCCAGCTCACTTATAAAAGCCAGTTGCAGTATCTCCTCTCTCCACACTAGAAGCAAAATGGCTTCCAACACTGCTCTGCTCTTCACATTCTCCCTTCTCCTCGCCCTCGTCTTCTCTAACAATTACTCACCGTGCCACGCCGCTCGCCTTCTGCTTGAAGACACCGAAGAGCCAGAACTCCCTCCTTTCCCAGAATTCCCGGATTTACCCAAACCAGAATTGCCACCGCTTCCCGAGCTTCCTCCCTTCCCTGAATTCCCCGCTTTCCCTAAACCCGAACTCCCTCCATTACCAGAATTCCCCACGCTGACAAAGCCGGGAGAATCTAATTCGGCCGAGGTGGAAGAGCCCAAGCTGCCCGTTCCAGAGCTGCCTCCATTGCCCGAGTTCCCTCATGACTTCCCCAAGCCCGAGCTTCCGCCATTACCGGAGATACCTCATGACTTTCCCAAGCCAGAGCTTCCGCCATTGCCGGAGATTCCTCATGACTTGCCGAAGTTGGAGCTTCCGCCATTGCCGGAGATACCTCACTTATTGCCAGTAGAGCCAAAGCATCCATAAACTTATTATTGTATTAGCTCAGTGCTGAGTTACGTACAGTTCATCGATCTTCATCATTTACCTTGTCTTTATTCTCTATTTCTAGTTACTGTCTTCGTCTTCTTCGTGACGGATTTGTTTAGTTATGTACGTATGTATCATGATCGATGTTATTATGATGTTAAGCAGATCACCTGTAGCAGTTGATTATGTCTACTAAGATTATTAACTATATACACTGCATTTATTTGTCTTTCATAATTTCTCGATTTTGTAAGTGAAGTATCGTAATTAATTGTTTTTGTTCTTCCTTTTTTTTGTGACAATCGATCAAAAATGGTGGGGTTGGAGGCTACGATGTGATTCTGCTCCATTTTTGCTGATATATAGTGCAGCGCTCATATTAGGTCTAATTAAGAGTTTGATTAGTAATAAAATTCATGTCAAAAAAAGCATTAATCTTTTTACACGTATTCACAATCATTTAGACTTTAAAAAAAGGCTTAGAATGATAAAATTTATATTTTTTGAACGACAAGATTATTATTATGGGCTATTTTGAAAAAAGGAGTGCATTTTATATGAAAATAATTATAAGAAGCATTTGTAAAAATTAATTTAAGATGAGTCAAAAAGGAGAAGAGAAGGACGTAACTTAATTATCCGATTTCAATAGAAACATGAATTTCTCTCTTCAGTTTTAATACAAATTGGACTTCCGGCCTCTGGTTTCAATATAAACTGGCAGTCCCTCCTGCGGTTTCTAAAACCTCAAAAATTTCTTCAGCGCATTCTTTTGAACATGCTTCTCCCTCCTCCGTATTGGCTCCTATTTAAATTTTTCCCTCACCATGCTCCTACTGCTTAATTACTTGAAAAAGATGCTACTTCTTAAAAAATAGGTCAGTATTATACATTTTAATTTGCACTATAATATTTTGTCTTTAAAGAAAGTAAATTATAACCGGTAATAATATCAAAATCTACTTTGTGCTGATCAAAATATATTTTTACACCTTAAATCAAATGTGGGGGCACATATATATATAATTTATTCTTGAGGTTTATTCAACTAGGCTTTTGTTAGAAAGAGCCCTAAAGCTTTTAGATTTGAATTTTCGTTTTCCTCTTGTAGAAAAAATTTATCCCCTTCAATAACTAACTCTTTTGAAAATTTTATAATAGACTTTGTGCTCATTTATATACTATATGAGATAAATGTTTACCCATATTAAAAGTACAAAAAAATAGTAAGCATATTTTTCGCGAAATCATTTTAAACTCTAAAAAATAATATAGTCATCAAAGAAAAAATTTAAAAACAATCTACAATTCTTTTATATTTGATTGTTTTTTTTCGCTGTTAAAAAAAATTTATGCTATAAGACAATTTTAAACAAAAGTTTAAAAAAATTATTTTCTCTAGAATAATTTTATAAAATAATAAAAAATTGCTTCAAAAGAAATCCAAGCCTAATGGTAATGGTTATAAGTGCCTATTTTTTATATATTTTTCCAGAGTACCTCCAGTCCCAGAAATAACAGGCTTTTCTACTTCTAAATCCTCACTAAAGTACAAGGCCAGGCCCATCAACCTAATCTCTGTTCTCTTTAAAGCAAATGATGCGATTGTAAGTGTATGCTTGGAGTGTGAACTAAAAAATAACTTTACAGAAGGCACTAATCATGAAAAATTATTGTTTAGCTAATTATATTCTGGTTAAAAACTAGCAATCTATCTATACACCATTTCTGTAACGACATCCAAAACTCCTTACATCTCATGTACCTTTTGTTGCGGGCTAAGAATTTGTGATGGTAAAGTATTAAATTTGGTGTTTTAGCATTGCATGAGTATCCGGCGTATAAATAGATAAAGTAGAAACACCGGAATTTTTATGTGGAAAACCTTGAGGGAAAAAACCATGGGGCCAGGTCCAGTGAAAATGAATCCAATAGCGCTTGAATATATTACAAATAATTGATTTGTCCTTGAACTTGAGGACAATCAGATTATAACAGTCACATGTCAGGTTGAAATCTAGTGACGAACAAGGATCGGGTGGAAATCCTGAGATGGTCAGTGGTCGGGCGTAAATCCAACATCGGTTGGTGGTCGGGCGGAAGACTGGTGATAATTGATGGTCGGGCTGAAGTCTGATGACGGTTGGTGGCTGAGGAGGAGTCTGCTGTCAAGAGAACTCTGATTTCTCTTCCTTTCCTCTATTCGTTTTCTTCCTTGCTTGGTCCCCCATCAATGAAGAATGAGGGGTTTATTTATAATTTTTTGGGAGTGACATGACCAGTAAATAAGGAAAAAATTAAGGTCATGTTGGGAGTGTTCTGAATGAACGGCTGATATCGACTCCTTTGATCGTTGACCATTTATCAAGTATTTGAGAGTATTAATGAAATCATAATTCAATGAACTTAGGCTCATTGGATTCGTCTCGTGGAGCAGCTCGAATCAACTATAAACATGTTACTTTTGAAAATTGTTTGGCTGTCCATTTTATGGGTTGAAACTTTCAAATGCTCTTCGAGTCTTCGATTTGGATTGGAGCTCGGATTGGGTTCAATTCGGTGTTATTTGATTCATCTTTTTAAGATATTTAGCTCGACTAAAAGTTTACTAAAATCAGAGTTTGAATGGTCCAAAATTTAAATTTGAAAATTTCCAACTTAAAATTGCCTCAAGATTTGTGCCCAACCAAGATAAGTTTTTGATGATATATTACCTCTAAAAATACCAATCAATCATCATTATATCACATGTCAAATCCATAGCTAATTATATAAATAACAATCAAACTCTTTACTCCACGGCCTTAACCACTCCCTTCTTCTTGTTCATGGCACTGGCTTTATGTGCTAAAGCGTTCTTCTTCTTTTGGATATATTACATTTGCTAAATCTTTCACATTCATAGAGATAGCTTTGTCATTTCTGATCACCTGCAGCCTAAAGTCACTTGCAGGATGTAAAAGATTTCATTCTAGCGTGTCATTATGACCTCGTTATTACATTTCAAAATGATCTCCCACCTACACTTGCATGATGGAGAGGGTTTCATTCAAGTATGTCATTTGACATTACAATTACACTCCAAAGTATCCTCCCACATGTATTTGCAATATGCAAAGGGCTTCATTCCTATAATATTATACATACCTATAAATGCATCATACAAAATACATATAATAGTGTATACTCGTATAGGCTCCGACGAGCGTGTTGTAGGTACACACGTGATGTCTGAGGTTGTTGTGCAGGTTAAGAAATGAATTGAAATATGAACCCGTTCCTTTATTGGTGAATTGATAGAGTCGACAATATTCAATCAACAAAAATATAACAACCCATGAAAACCCCAATGATGACCTTGTTGACAAAAAAATCAACAAGAGGGGAGACTACATACATTTAAAAAAAAATACCTCCTAAATGCTCATAAAAATTCAAAGATTCTTAAAATATCATAACCTAAGACATTTAATATTAAAATTAATCATCAAACACTTAAATCAAAAATACCCATCCATCCTCTGCAATAGTTTGTCGAGGTAAACATATATGAAAACTACTTCAGCTCATAAAAATTAATATCTAGTCGAGAATATCACTAGGTCCATTCTCAATATATTTCTTGCCAGTAAGGACGAGTCATGTGTTATCTAATCGGTGATTTTTCCACCAAATGATAACATGATAGATTCCGCCCGCTAAATGACACCACAGGTAAATGGTTATGATTGGACCCTCTAACCAGGTGATTTTGCTGCAAAATGACATAATTATATTATGATCATAGTCAGAGCCCGTATCTCCCACTACAGGAAAATCACCCACTTCCGGCGGCTTTTTCCGGCGGAATTTGAGCAATTTCCGGCGGTTTTTTAATTTTCCGGCGGTTTTCCGGCGGCTTTCGAGCCGCCGGAAAAAACGGCGTAGGAAAATACTTTCCGACGGCGTTTTCCGGCGGCAAAAAAATCCGGCGGTTTGCCGGCGGTCAAAAACCGCCGGTGGAAATTAAAAAAAAAAAAAAAA